CTACATTCTGCAGCCGATTCCTTTCTCTCTCTAAATCTCTTTTTCTCTAATTACCATGTACCATATGATTTCTATTTAATGGCCATGTACTATGCAATTTCTCTCTAATGGCCATGTGATTTCTCTTTCTAACCATTTATCTCTCATCCTTATTAATCTTTTTCCAACTTGATTTTGTTATTTGATCTTATAAATATATTATGTATATATTAGACACCATACTAAATATATTCTTGTATGAGTTCTCTCTCTCTCTCTCTCACACACACACACACATACACAAACAATCTTTTTGCTTTTACTAAGCTAGAAGGGACTTATGCAGGTGACCCGTCAAGTGTATGATAAAATTGGGAATTAAGGTTAAAGAGGGAAATGTTGGTTAAAGAGGAGTGAAACACAAGATTAGAGAGAGAAATGTAGGTCATATATTGGGTTTAGAGCAAAAAAGATTTAAGAGTTTGGAGGTTAGCCATTATAGAGAGAAAGAGATTCAAAGAGAGATGAATCTGTTGTAAAATTTAGAGAGAGAAAGAGAAACTAATCGTGAGAGGGAGAGAGGCGAGCATACTCTAAGGGTTGCCACCATGGTGAATGCAGAGAGAGAGAGCATTTGCCATAGTAGAGAGAGAGAAAGAGAGCTCATCATGGTGAAATGAGAAAAAGGGAAAGAGATGAGAGAGATGGGATTGAAAAGAGGGAAAACAAAGTTAAAAAGGTTTTTAGGTTGAGATGGTATAAAATGATTTGTTAGAACTAACTTTTATGATCAAAAGAGAATAAACAAGGGAGTTAGATATGAGGGGGGTATGGTGAAATCCTTGAACGTTTCTTTATACCGCTTGAAAGAATAACGGGATGGGGGTCTACCATGAAATGAGATGGGGAATTAAGGTTCTGTACGAAATTTTGTATAATTTAATTCAATTCAATCTATGTGATTGGTAATTGAATTAGATCAACTATTTTTTTGATTTGACAGTTAATCTTAGGAGGTCTTGGTGGTGGGGATACCACACCCTTCCCATCACAAATGGCGTCTTGCGTTCTATTTCTAGTATTGGCGGATTCTGACCCTCCCTGATTAGGTGCCATAATATAGCATCTCAAGTTCTATTCTTACCATATATAGGGGACCTTCCCCGTTATCTCCTACAAAGATTTTATAAATCAAATGTAGCAACTTCGCTAGAAATGTGCGCTTTTTGAAAAACTTGCCAAATCCCATATACAATTGTAGCAGCTGGTGTCCAACCTCAGTGCCACAACATAGCATCTCAAGTTCTATTCTTACCATAGGTAGGGGACCTTCCCTACTCATCTCTCAAAAGGATTTTGTAAATCAAATGTTACTAAAAACACATGTTTTCTAAATAAAAAAAGTGCTTAAATCCTATATCTAATTTCCAATATTTGTGAACTATAATCTTAATTGCATCAATTTGGATGCACGGCAAGAACAACACCTTTTTTTTCTTTTTTTCTTTTTTTGGTAGATTAGTGAGGATTATAGGCCCTTGCCCAAATGAGAAAGGTTCAATAAGGCCATGATGGAAAAGTACGCCAATAGATCATTTATTTTTGGCATAGCAAGGTCACAATAATTCTTGTCTTTCATATTTCAAATTAGATGGTTGTAAGTATGTTATTGATTTGACTCAAAGTTTTAAAAAGGCATTTTGAACTTTGTGATAGATACTGGCCCTCCAATTTGACATCTAATGGTTACAAGTAATTGTGACCTTCTTATATAGAAAATAAATGATCTTATAGTATACAATCCCACCTGTAATCGACTATTGACCTCAATGAGAAGATAATGTTAGGTTAAGTGCGTTTCAAAATCAAATTTGAAAAAAATGTTAAAAAGTAGAGAAAATTATGTGAATATTTATTTTATTTAATTTTATTTATAATTTACCATTATTACATCTATACGGGGTTTATTTTGCTGTTTCAAAATTGTTCACAGAGAATAGTATGTTAATAATATACATCTAGCCTTTAAGTGGTTACAAAAATAGGAAAGAAGGCAACTTGATAAGTGTTTTTTGTTCTTTGAAATGCTCTTGTAAACATTGGAGCCATGTATACCTGGTCTACTAGAACTGCTAATGTCTTTTTCTTTTTTTGAAAATCGATCATGATTGTACTGAGTGAGAACCGCATAGGTTCCTTATCAAAACCGGGAATCAATATAATTAACACTCAAAAAAGAAAGAAGGGGCAGGGGAGGGAGGAGTCGGTCTAATATATAGGGTCTAGCCCGATTTTCTTAGATCAGGCTAGTTTGTCAGTAACCAAGTGATCCTAATAAGTGAGTCACCCAATTCCCACCTAATTATCCACTAAATATTTTTAAATTAATTTAAATATTAATAATATTTTAGTTTTACGTGGATCACAATAGAATCGTTGATCTTGGTCGGTCAATTAAATTCCATAAACACATGAGAGCATTAAAGTGATTGTTTACAAAGAAGTCATTTATCTTTTGTATAAAGAGGTCACAATTATTTTTGTTCTTTAAATTTCAAAATAAATAGTTATAAAAGTGTCATTGAATAGACACAAAATTTAAAAAAAGTTAAAATAAAATTATCAGACATTATAACTCACACCAAATCTTTGAATTTAACATCGAATGATTGTGACATCCGTAAATAAAAGATAAAAAATCTTTTTTGTAAATAATCCCGCGTTAAAAATCTTGCAATAACTCGGTGTACAGCCTATATTAAAAGAAGACAGTTTTATGTGTGCGGATTAAAGCCTATAAATAATCGGCCAAAAATGGGTCAGTGCCAGTCAATTGTCCGCGAAGTATCTTACATGTTCTTCCCTTTCTCAAAAAGCCTAACTGCATCCCAATTGTCACAGACTCACAGGTATTTTAAATTGGTTCTTAATGCTCTTTTGAAATTGCACATCTCTCATAAATGATCACACTCAAAAGCTTTCAGTGCGTTTCAGTGCTTTCAAGAACCAGTCTGGATTTAGAAATTTCTAGTTTTACCAACTTCCCACTAGTTTTTTCATTTTTTTTTTTTTAGTACCAAAAAATGATAAGAATCGGCCGAGCCAACCCAATTCTATTAAAGAAAAATTATGTCGATATCGTATTAAAATACGGTAACTACGGACTATACAATGTTATATAAATTATGTGCACGTATACTAGTCCAATATTTAGAACATTGGACCGGTGTTTTTTTTTTTGGAAAATAGCTCCATGTCTCCTATTTTCAGATTTCATATATTGGTAAACCCAATGTTTCAGAAGATATCTTCTAACCTCCTAGCCACTTTAAACCTATTTTTTAACTTAAACAAATATGAGAAAGATATGCTCTTTCTACACCCAATCTTTTTTCTCATTTCACTTATATACTCCAAATTTCTCTCGTTTTCTCTCTTCTTGTATCTCTCACTCTCTCTCTCCTCCCCTGTTTTTCCAAACACATCTTTCTCTCTTTCCGGTAACCTCTCACCTCCATGAAGCCCTTCTCTCTCTAGAAGTTTGGGAGGATGATTTTTAAAAAAGACAAATCTTTTTAGATTTATTTAGCCTAAAAAAACAGGTTTAAAATAACTCAAGGGGTTAGAAGAAATAAAATCTACAATTTTTATGCTTCAAGTTATCTATTAAAACCTTAGGTCTATTGTGAAATGAAACTTAAAAATAGGAGAGGGTATAGATATATTTTCCTTTTTTTTTAGGGAAAAGTTTATATAGAGCCGAGGCTCTAAACAATCATATTTAAGCCTACCTCAAAAAATTCAGTAGAAGAGGTTGTTTTGATGCCATATCTTCAAATTGTTCATCTCGACATCAAGATACATGGACACAAGAAAAAAAATGGATTTCAAGTTTTGGAAATAGTGTATTTTGTTACATATTTTTTTATTGTCAATTGTCAATATTTTCAAATTTTCATAGGTATATCGATCTACACTATTTTTGAAGCCTTAAATTTTATAAATAAATATGAAAATATACTTTAAGGCTATCACAAAGATTTTCGGTATTGAAACTATATTTCTTGATACGTTTTGAAAGTAGGCTCTAATTTGATTGTTTAGAGCCCAGGCTCTATACAAGCCGCACCCTTTTTTTTAGCACCCGATGCCTTTTTCTTCTTTTTTTCTTTTCCTATTATCCTCCGAATAAGGGTGTAAATGGGTCTAAGCGGAGCCAACCTTAGCCCTAGTCCGATCCTTGTCCCCATCGGGCCCGGCGAGCCACAAGCAAATAAAGAGAAAAAACAAACCGAAAAACAAGAAAAATGAGGGTCGGCTGAGCCGAGACTGGCCCTCAGGGGTTGGGACACTTCAAAACATCGCACAGTTTTTTTATTTTTTAAAATTTTATTTGAAGTACTAGGAGTGGTCCGAAGCATCAAACCGCCCATCTCTCATATTTTTTAAAGCACATTGTCAAGACATCGGACCAAAGTTTTCGAGAGGACAAGAAAATAGTAACGCTTTCCAAGACTTTTCAAGTCTTTATATCTTAGGTGGTCTGCCCGACCACAAAAAGAAAAATTAAAAATTGGTGAAATTTTGTGAAATTTAAAAGCTTAGATACACTCGCCATTTCGGAAAAGTAAAAGTGCTCGGATTAAGGAAACAAACAAAAATCAAAAAGATTTGTGGTCCAGCATACCACCTAGAACATAAGTTGGGATTAAGGTGATAGTTGAGGGAGGTGGTGGAATGTTAGGAATATCATATCAATATTTACACCTCTCTTTTCATAATTTTTTATCCATGGAACATATGACAATAATATACTTCAAAAAAAAAGTATAGGGCAATCCGAAGGTCCAGCCTTTAGACGGGTTCCTGCATTTTAAACACTTTAAATATAAAAGAAAAAAATAACTAGGAATATCACATCGAAGTGCAAAATTAATTAAATAAATAAAACTTCCGAAAAAATTTGTTATAAATTTGAACCAATTCGTATTTACCATATTTAACGTTCTAGAAACCAGACCTACAAGTACGGTACCTGACTTAATATTCATTCCATTAATACCGATGTTGCCGACCAGTTTGCTTTGGTTTTTACAACAGCCGTGTGCCTAAACCCGACCGACCTCTCTCTCTCTCTCTCTATCTCTACTTTGAGAATTCTGAATTGGGAATTTAGAGAGAGAAATCTGAATTGGAAATTTAGAGAGAGAAAGAGGGGCCGGAGAAGAGCGACCCATCTTCACACAAAGAACGCACCACTCTCTATTCCGTGGCGCTAACATCCGAATTTGACACGATCGCAGCGTGAAAGAAAGGGTTTCTCACGTTTCAGTTGCAGCAATTAAAGGGCAGCACAGCATGACCTGACCCCTCCTCTGTCTCTCATCTTTCCCATTATATATCTAATTATTGTCATTCATTTTGGGGAAGATGTGAAAAGGGGTTTGGATTTTGGAGGGTGCAGGTGGGTTCGGGTTAGCCGCCATGGGCTCGGATAAACGGCTTCGATATAACCGGGCAGCTATGGTGAAGCCCTGCTTCTTCAGTGTCAGAAACACCGTCTTGCTCTTCTTCCTCATCGTCTTGACTGTGCTCCTCCTTCCACTTTACAAGGTAATTTTATTATTTAAGTCTCTCTATATGTGGTCTGTGGTCTTATGATGCTCATTCCATTAAGGCGTAGGTCTGTCCCCATAGGACTGGTCCAGGCTCGGTCAGGCCCAGCCGAGGCTCGGTACTTGGCATGTTGGAGCCGGCTGGGCCGAAAACAGAGGAGGAAAATTATAGTTGAAAAAACAAGAAAAAAAGAGGGCCGGGATGAGCCAGCAATGGCTTAGCCCGGCCTTGAGCTATGGCCCAAGCCCTAAATTTTTAGGTGCGAGCCGCCCCGGCTCATCCATGCGCTCTCCACCCTCAACCACTTTCTGTTTCTCTTTCCATGATTCTTCCCTCTTCATTGATGCTCACTCTTTGCAAGTTCTTTTTTTCTATATTTTTCTACCTTCTTGCTTTCTTCTTCCTTTCTTTTTTTTTTTTATATGGTGACTTTGTTCTTATTCAATGAATGTGTTGACTTATTTGAACACGGTGTACACATTTTCCAATTCAAAAATCTAACAATCCTATTACTTAAACAAATCCATCGCTAGTTCTCTAAACAAACCAAAAAAAAAATATCTATTACTTCGGGAAAAACAAGATATTTTTAGGACCCCAAATTTTATAAGATATAACTTACTCAACCTCACAACCGACTTAGAAAATCATTGAATATGAGCTTCAAAAGTGCTTGAAAAAACCGCCCCACATGAATTAATCATCTCTGAATTTGAGAGTCCAATCTGGCATTCAAGAACTATTTATATAGCGGAAAAGTGTTTATAGAGCCGAGGCTGTTTTGATGCTCAAATATTCCCAAATTGATCATCTCACCATCAAAATGTATGGACAAGAGAAAAAATGGATTTCAAGTGTTGAAAATGGTGTATTTTACAAGTCATTTTTAGATCGACAAATTTTCAGGTTTTTTAAGTTTTCTTGGTTATGTCGATTTACACTATTTATGAAGCTTTAAACTTTATGAATAAAAATATATATATATTTTAAAGCTGTCACAAAGATTTACAGTATTGAAACCACATTTTTCGATACTATTTGAAGGTAGGATTGTTTAGAGCTTAAGCTCTATACAAACCGCATGTTTTATATATCATCATCATCGGAACCTAATCTAATGTTATAAGCATATATCGGTTTTTTCATAATTAGGTATTCATATTTATAGATTACATTTATGGAACACATGGGAACAAAATTTGATGGATAGGGATTATAAGGTGGAGCTTCACCGTATAAGTAGGTGGTCAAGCCCCTAGATAGTGACTTTTTAGATCTGAATTTTCCTAGATAATCTTGGATTTACCTCTAAAAGATATATATTCGAAGCACTTCAAACCCTAGTTCTCACCAATCAAATGGTCGGTTCTTAGTGGCAGAATATATTTTAAGTATTTTTGTGCCTCTAAATTATTTCCTTTTAATAAAAGTAAACATGACGGTTATTAAAGATAATCTGAAAAAAAAAATTACCTTAACTATATTTTCGAGGGTCTAGGCCACATAATTGTGTAATTGAGCACGACCACCTAAAACGTGTCCGTATTTGTTAGTAAATTATTTTCCTAAACCCTTTATGACCTTTTTCTGAAAAAGTTAGAGTCGGGCCGACCAGTCGCCCTTGCGCCAGCCGTGTACTCACTCGAGTCGAGTAACGAGTAGGGCTGAGTAATGTAGAAGTTGAAAACTCGAAAACTATTAAAAGATAAAAAATGTAAGAAAATCTTAAAAAATAGGGAAACAAATATATTCAAAATTTAACAAAACAAAATTTATTATGGTTAAAATACTAGTGAAAAAATAAATTTTACAAATTACGTTTGTGATTGTGGGTATTTTCAAAAAAAATAAAAAATATAAAAATAAGTATTCTTGACTAAAATAGCTAAAATGATTAAAAAAACATAAATAATATATTTCTAATCTTTTTGTGATTTTTTATTTTAAAAAAAATTTGTTGAAGATCCCCAAGTTGGACTTCCAACTTGAGACAACTAGGCCCGGTAAGGCCCAAGCCCAAGTCACTTGGCTGGGTCTAAACGACCATGCGGACCTTTCAAACACTGATTGCGGAAATTGTTCCATCTTTTTTTCCGGAAAATGTCCCTACCCGTTTTCCACATAGGAATCAGCAGCGAGGAAAAGAACGCTGCACGTTTTCCACATAGAATAGAAATATATATTAATTAATTTTTTTGACCAATTTTTTTTTTACCAGGCGCTGGGCAAATATATATTAATTAATTACACATTGAAAGGGAGTACTTGCCCACGTCTTTCATAGAAACCTCGGGTTGGAACCGAATCGATTCGATCTAAGAATTAGTCATCCAATTCTGGTTCTGCATATATATATATATATATATATATATACATATATATATAAAATCAGTCCAAACTAGAAGAGAATTAACTTTGCACATATATACGAAATCAGCTGAGTCTAGAAGGGAACTGGTGATTTGCTACACTGAAAGAGCCATTTTGCTACGTTAAAAATGTCAATGCACCGACCCAATTCGACTTTGTCCAAGTCATTGTTTTTGTAAATGTTTTTTTCGCTTGTTCACTATTTTATCTGGACAGTAAAACAATGATCTAGATTGCCGATTCACCGATCCAAATCAGTTTTTACGATGTTCGATCCAGGTCACCAATTTTGTCTTTTAAATCACTGGAAAAACCCCCAATGCTGTTTTACAAAATCAGCTCTTTAAAAATAGAACACATGGATTGGCTGACTCAACGACTCGTGTCAGCTGATTTGTTTCAAAGTCTAAAATAGCCCCCTTTTATATAGAGCAATGATCTAATGCAACAGTTGTATCATAGTATAATGTACCGACATTTCTAAAAAACCATGTTTGTGGATTTTGTATGACCTCAAATTTTGCACACACACTCTCTTTATCTCAATAATCAATCCAAAAAAAAAAGTTAATTTTGAACCTTAGATATGGTAAAAAATGAGTCCCTTCAAAAAACGAATCTAGACCGTTCATTTTGTGAATTTCAAGATCTTAGCCTTTATAAATTGAAAATCATTTTTTTCTTTTTCAACATTGTTCATCTAATGATAATAAAGTCATCCAAAAACATTAGAAATGAAAAAATCCTTCTAAGGCCTAGATCTAAGCATCTTACCAAAATGAACGGCATATGTTAATTGCGTTAAAAAAATACTTTCTAAGTTGTGTTTTCAAATTTTTCTTTTTTGTGATTGTTCATTAGAATGAAAGAGTGTATATTTCAAAATTTGGATCAAACAAATGATCATATGACGGTTTTTTAAGATTATTGCATCATATTACTATACAACCGTTGCATAAAATCGTTGCCTGTTTATATATTTTACTTAAATTCAACATTTTAAGTAGCCAATAGTGTATTTAAATGTTATTATTCGTTTATATATCAAATTAAGCTAAAATTTTGAGACCCATACTTCTCACTGTAATGCACTTGTACAAAATATAAAAATGTGTCTAAGTTAAATAAGAAAAACCAAAATTACCCCTATAATTTATAAAATTTTAGAGGCATTTTTATTATTATTTGTGTTAAACTATTTAAGCAATTTTTTATAAATTTTTTTTTTTTAAGGGGCGAGAAAGCCAGCTACCCTGATTTTCATTAATAGAAAAAGAAGTAACACATTATTTTTACACTTTTTATAAATGTTAGATGGTGCGAAATATCAACTTCTTATATTCGGAGTTAGTTCGATGTATAGAAATGAACTAAAATTATGCACTTACAAAAAGTTGGGACTTTAGCATAAAATATAAAATATTAAGGGTGATTTTTTTATTTTGACAATAAAATGAGATTCTTTTATAAATTCTCTTAAAATAAAAATTAGTTAAAAATTTTAGACCAAATTTATAATTCTCAAATCATATTAAAAAAGTTATTTCAATAAATATTACTCATACAAACGTGATTCTTAAGGTGAATCGGTCCGATTCCACAAGAGACTTGTCACTAGATCACTCACAAGTTTGGTGCAACGTTTAAAAAAAAACACACCGGCGATGCAAGTCGAAGAATCAAGCGAATCGATATGTTTCGGCTCTAAAACATTTCAAAAAATCACTAAATTTTTTTTAAAATCGATAGTTTTATGTTTTCAAAAAAAATTGGGGCATTGCATTGTAGATTTTCACTATTTTATTTATATATTAAAATATATAAATACTGAGAAAATATTTTTGACAAAATATTTGTTAACCACTACATCCATTTCTTAGTCAAATATAGTTTAAATTACAACTAATTACACCAAAAATAGATCACTCCAACTCAAATTTTTTTATTTTATATTTTATAATCTCTATTATCACTTGCAGTTGTAAAAATGTAGGATATCGCCTCCTCATTTATTGTTGTAAAGAAAACAAAAAAATTACGACCTAAGCTTTCAACTTTTTCATGAGCAAGGAATAAATCACTTGTATTTTATAATCTATATACACTAAATTAGAATTATTAAGTTGCAATTATTTTATTATATAAATAGGAATAAATTTAAACTTTGTTTTATAATAACTTCTAATATAAAAACATGATTATTAACATCTGTATGGAAAAATTATACACATTATGTATTTTATAATATAAATAATTAAGTACTAACTTACAATACTTGTGTTATTAATGTATAATGATAATATATTATATCCAAATGCTCCATCTTAAGAAAAAACATGATATATTAATGTGGTAGATATTAAATATGATAAAATAAAAAATGATATATTAATATTAAAATGTATTCTAGTGTTTTTAACAAGGTTTATGGACAAACAAACGGCCATAATTGCCGTATTCCAGTGTTTTTAATATTAGAGTTTTTGGAATGTTTGAATGTTTTTAATATTAAAGTGTTCTTAACATGGCCGTTTACTTGTCCATTTGTGCACGGCCATTGTGCCCATAAAGAAATAAAAAATAACAATATCTCTCCCTTTACGCGCATGAAGAGGTGAAAAAATAGTCCTACATCGAGCGGTCGAAGAATCATAAACTCGTATAAAAAGCTTAGGGCCCACAATGCCTCTTGCTTTTGTTTCGGAAGTGCCCATGCTCGGTGTCTCTTTGCTGAATCATTTAATAAGTTTTCCTTCAAATTTAAATTTTATCATAACATTTATTTTTGGTATAAATATTCTCAGGAAGAAGTATGTATTTTTATATCTTATTATAAAAATATTTTATAAATTTTTTTCTTAAGACTATCTAAAAATGTATTTTTATAGTTAATTATAAAAATATTTTATAAATATTCTTAGGATTTTTTTTATGCATCCTTAATTCTACATTTTAATATTGCAACTTTATATAAACTTTTCCCTTTAATCATACCTGTAGAGCCTTTTAATCAAAAAAAAAAATTAGACGATCTGGATGGTTTCGGATAGACCGTCCAAATCGATATATTCAGGGATAGACGGTTCAGGATAGACCGTCCAAATCGATATATATTCATATTGAGGGATTCAGAAGGGTAATAATGATTTTCTATCCAGATCAGGTGATTCTGATTAAGATCAACAATTTTTAAAATTTTAGTTCCAGGCGATGCCGATTAAGATCAACAATTTTTAAAATCTTAGTTTGGAGTTAGCTCACTTCCTAATAGGCTTGGTGATTCTATATGTTTCAACATGTTTTGGACGGTTCAGGATAAACCGTCCAAATCGATATATTAAGGGATTCGGAAGGGTAATAATGATTTCTCATCCGAGCGATTTCGATTAAGATCAACAACTTTTTAAGTCTTAGTTTGGAGTTAGCTCACTCCCTAATGGGCTTGGTGATTCTATATTTTTATTATTATTATTATTTTATTTTTTATTTTTTTATTGATAGAGTTTCTCATCGAGTAGAATTGGTTGGATTGCTTATTATTTTTATTTATAGAGTTTCTCATCGCGGAGAATTGGTTGGATTGCTTATCAGTATCCGTGACTCATTGATCGAGACCAATTTCCGAAATATCTTATTCACCCAACCGATTCGGATTTTAGGCACTGCTTTGCAAAACGCGTCCACTCGCGTCAAACCTATCATGTTTCTAAGGCTCTAAGATTAAATAAAATGCAAACGGCATTAATAGAAGGGGCCTTTCTATATGACCCCATCCACATATATGGTATATGTGATCTCTGGTTTCAGCCATCAGTAGATGGTTAAGATAATTTGAATTACATTGTCACAAGCTAGCATTCAACCGTTAAATCTTGATTAGACAGTTCACATTGTTTTATTTTTTATTTTTATTCTACAGATAATTTTGAAATAAATTTTGGGGCACACATAATAAAAATTATTTAAAAAATATTTTTTGTGATGAAAAATTACCATAATACCTTTGAAAATTGTAAGGGCATTTTGGTTATTTATTTTTACATAAAATATATTTTTTATTTTTTCCAAGTTCTTAATTTAGTGATGGGCCCAAAATTCCAAGTTTCTCCTTTACATACTCTCTTTTTGCCATTTTTGGGGGATTGCCACAAGCACAATTAGGCTGAGGATGGGTTGGATTGGGTCTGGATCTCAGCAGATCCAGATTCAGATCCGAAAGTATACATGAGATTCGGATCTGATCAAATCTTATAATATTTGGATCTGGACCCTATCGGATCCAAAATTAATTATTTTATCTATTATTTTATATCTATAAAATAATACGTACAAAAAATATTATATATATATATATATATATATATATATATATGTGGTGGNGAGAGACACAGGAGGTAGAG